GTAGGATGAAATTAACATGTTTATATGGTTAGGGTGGAAACTGCACGAGTGTGCCGAGAAGACAATCTGTTTATATCAATGCATTCTTTAAAAGTCTGTTATTAAAACAAGGGACAGTGAGCGCCCATTTAAATATTACTAGATATATTCAGATTTAATCCATACCTGGTTGAGATCCTTTTGACAGTTATCTGAGGTCCGTAATTTTTTCCCTGAACCATGGTTTTTCCTATGGATCGTACCATGGGGAGCGTATAGACTCTGGGGGCCAGTAACGGCCGGAGCTGGCCCTGAACAATGCCCCATGTTCCTGCATTGTAATGAGATGTACTGCTCTGTAAGTAAAATACAAAGAAAATATGTAATTTCCAAATCATAAATATATACTAAAAAGACATCTTCTAATAAAAAATTATAATAATTATAATAATAATAATAATAATAGGGCATTAAGAACGATATACACTACAGCTCATTATAGTGGTTATAGTGCAAAGACTGTTTTGGTACACTCCCTCTATTTTATGTCAATATATGTTATGTGGCTTGACAATGAAGGGGGCTCTACAGATACCCAAAGTTTGCCCCTTTCGCAGCCACTAAGATAGTTAGGAATTGCATTGCAATGATAGGCAGCGAGTGCCAGGCTAAGCAGTTTAAGTGGTTACAGTGATTAGAGATAACTAAAAATAAATCTATAGCGGGTAGAGGTCAAAGGAGGGGGTGACTAGAGGAGAACATAAAATGGAGGGTAACAAATGAGAAGGTAGGACCAGTTCTCAGCAGATTGAACTCCGAGTAATGGTCAAAGGACTCTCACATACTTTTGATACCTGGTTGTTGGGACTGAGGTTCAGCAGCCTCCAGGATGAGTACATTAGGTCGGAAAAATGGTAGAGAAGCCGTAGCCTAGCTCTGACAGTGTGAGTGCAGATGTCCTTCAATGAGCTGTACTGGGGTGGGACAACATCTGGAAGACCCAGCTGTAATGGAACTGCAACACCTGGAAGTACACAGTTCAAAGGAGCCATCAGTAAGGTCAGGTATACTTGAAGGCAAATCAAGGAGGACAAACAGATCTATTTATGTATTTGAAAAAAAATTTTAGGCAATGCTTGATATATACTTTAAATTGAGAGGCCCATATGTTTACATTTAATTTGAGAATCTCTGACGCAGAAGACAAACTTTGAATTAAAAAAAGACGAAAACATCATGTCAAGAAGTCTTGAGTGTTTATTTGAATCTTGCTTTACATGGTTAAATCTGGTTTTACATGCTTTTACGTGTGAAGAGTGTATTTTTCTCATGTTACAAAAAGAGCAGATTTCAACTGAGACTTGAAATATTTTATAAATTAACCTTGTACACCCCATGGCAGTCAATCAGACAACTGGTCTGGTTATGTCCTGGTTTTGTTAGCTCAGTGGAGCTAAACTCAATAGGCAGCAAATGCCCAGAGCAACTGCCTTGCAAAGACTTCTAATTAAGCTGTATTGGGAAGTCTGTGATTGGACAGACACAGAAAGTCTGGGCGGGGTTAGAAGGGGAGGGCTTGTAACAGCTGCAGACAAGAGATCTGCAGCTTCTGCTAGCTGCTTTCAGATGGATCCCTGAAAAAAAAAAATTAAATGCATGCATGTTTTTATTGGGGGTATATTTACTAAATATTGATGACTATTTTTTTATTTGTATTTGGGCAATAGAATATCCCTTTAAGCCATTCACTCAGTTTCTTGGAATTCGGTATTCCTAAGAATTGTCAGTTTGCAGATGTCAGCTATGATAATATATGTGTGGGGCAGTCTATAGACATATTAATGTTACCTGGTGCACGAGGCTGTACAGGAGGTGCTGTCCATGCAGCACTATGGCAACGTCCTGCAGATATTTGACGGATGTTCTTTCCTTGGAGCGCCGTGGTAAGAGTGGGTTCACGGACGTGGTTGGTGTGACCAAGTCCAAGCTGTGCAAAATTTTTTATTTTTGGCAGAAATAAAAATGATAGTAACCATTGGATTCAGCTTATTGCATTAAATTACAGCATTTTTTTGTATAGATTCATCTCTTCAAGCTCTGTCAGTCTGGTGGCCCATCCACAACAAACATACGTCGGTCTCCTGTTTAATCATGCAATACATGTACTCACTTGTCCCTCGGAATTACTGCCCCAAGCATACACTTCTCCAGCTGATGAGAGAGCCAGGGTGTGCTCAGCTCCCACTGCAATATCCTCAATGAAGATACCTAGTAGACCTGGTACCAGTTGAGGGCGGTTGTGATTTCTCGCTCGTCCTTCAGGCAAACCAATCAAGCGGTCTGTGGTAAGAGAAACATTGGCTGTTGCATCTGAACATTATCAAGTGAAGAAAAGAAAACACTGCAAACACGCAACACAAAGTAATTTAAAAGTGAAATATCCCCTGTCTATTGATAAACCATATTACAGTACTTTTCAGTATATAAACAGACAACTGTCTGCAGAAACAACAGTTTGTATGTTTTGTCTTCAGATGCATACACTGCACAAAATGAAAACAAAGCAACTAAATAGCTGGAACAACGGGCAGATGTGAACCAGAGCTTGCACTAAAAGTGCCCACAGCAGACAAAATGAGCAAAAGGTCTGTAAGAGAATCCCCAGAGCCGAACAGGGAATTTACAAGTGAAGCAGCTTGTGTGTTGTGTGTGCAGACCACTTATAGCTCTCCCCTCTGCTCTGGATGCTTCTCAGTGAGTCAGAGCGTTGCCACGGTAATGCTCCTAGTGAAACAGGCACGCTTGATCTCAAGGGACAAATGGCCTGCACATGGCAGAGGTGCAGACCACTGGCTCCCTGAAGCTACATAAGTGTGTTCTGGGCACAATGGAGAGATCCTCCTATCCCCACACAGGACCCATTTGTTTGGTGTGCCATGGAACTCCACGTACCATAAGTTGCAGACCCCTGCTTCAGGTGAACCCTACTTGGACTGTAATGGAGAACTGCGTGAGGTAACATACATATCAGGCTCTACTGCAACAACTGTGCAACAACAAAACGCAAAGGTGATTGGCTGAATCTTCCAACCAATTGCATTGTTCCAATGTATTTATTACTATAGTAAAAAGTATAAAATATTATTTTAGAAAAATTAAACTTTAAAGTCTCACCTTGGCCGAATGTGTACACATGTCCATCTTTCGTAAGAGCCACTGAAAACTGTGTCCCGCATGCTACCTTCTTAATGCCAATCCCACACAGAATGTCCACTTTCTGTAAATAAGGAAAATGGGTCCGTGATGTTTCAACTTGGCAAATGAATGTGAGATTACTAATCTCAAATCGTCTCTCCCCCCTCCCCAAAAACCCTTCAAAATGCTGAATCATTAAAAGCAGAGAACATATATATGCCAAATCTGCTCTTATTGAGCTATTTTGCAGATGTTCTGCTTTATTGATCATTTCACACACCAAAAAATAACAATATACATACATACATACAGATTACACACCTGTGGGGAGGATTTGGCTGTGGAATTTCCCAAACCAAGTTTGCCATAATCACCATCTCCAAAGGCCCAAACGATCATGCCATCAGATGAAACAGCCAGTGTATGATTGAGTCCACAAGCCACCTGTAATGAAATTATAGATATGAGCGCATGGGAGGGTACTGCAACACCACTAGTGTTTCTAAATTGGAAACCACAATTTAAGACTGGAAACAACTTAGAATAAATATTGATCTTTTGCCAATTAGAAAATGCTACAAACTTTTCAGGGCCTCGAAATCCTTTATCTTTATCCTCTCCATTCTCCCCAAACTGACCCCAGCAGTAATGGTCTAGTGGAATAGGGGTAAATAGCAATTTCTGGTGGCACAAATGTTGCTACTTGTCCCTTTGTTGAAGAGATAACATGGTGTGTTAAACTATGATGTGTGAACCACAGTTCCCTTAGCACGGTGAACAAGGACAAAAAACATAGGATCTTTCCTACCAGAGGTACTCATATCCCACTCATCTTTTCTACTACACCACCAGCTGGATACAGAACTGGTGAACTGGTGATCGTTTTATTTTCCTCACCCCAGGAAAAACTATTTAAGTGTGGGATGTGCAGCAGAGTTAATAAAACATGTTTAACGTTACAGTACTTATCGCACCAGCCAAGTTAACTTCCTACCATGCTCAGGACACGCAGGTGAACCTTTGGGCATCTTTTTCCCATAATGCCATGTAAATGAATGACATCCTTTCAAGGAATGAGCAAGCAGCGTTATAGGATACCATAATATTTAAATAAAATGTCAGGGTATGTTTTGACATCCATGGATATGATGCAAATCAATAATAATGTATTTTATGGGCTATCGTGACAGTATGTCTCAAATATTTCTTATTTTATTTACTAAACAAATTAAAAACATCTTGCATTTGCTAATCATTTGAATAAGCAAGGCAGCCATTGCAAAGTATCAAATAGCCTTCAATCAAGGGTGGCATCCTCACTGGTTACGTGACTTTCTCCATTGCTCCTGTACTGTGTAAGCAGATCACAGTGGTCGGCCTCGAGAAGAATCACACATTATCGATGCACAATTCCATATCTGTGTCACCATGGAGACATTGAGCCATGGATGTACACTATTACCAGAAAGATTTATTTTTTCATAAAACAGCTCTCTAGATTTTTTCCCCAGTAATGCCATCTGTCTGAGGAGCCAAGAAGTCTTTGAATTAGAACATTGTCCCGCTGGGAGATGGCGCTAATATGATTACACTATTGCAGTGAAGCGAGCAGCTCGCGCCATTTAACAAGTGAACTACATAAAATTCACACACAAACCATTGTTTGCACATCTACTACCAGTGTCTCAAAATACTGCGGCATTGTCTGCATGATCACAGTGCATTTATTTGTAAAGCAAACTCTTCAAGGGTATAACACTAGTGATGTCCTGAACGGTTCGCCGCGGACTCATCATTGAGTAAACTTTGACCCTGTACCTCACATTCGGCAGACACATTCCAGCCAATCAGCAGCAGACCCTCCCTCCCAGACCCTCCCACCTCCTGGACAGCTCACTAAGAATGCAGCTTCACAATGAATGTAAAATGGATGTAAAATGGATGCTGTCCAGGAGGTGGAAGGATCTGGGAGGGAGGGTCTGCTGCTGATTGGCTGGAATGTGTCTGCTGACTGTGAGGTACAGGGTCAAAGTTTACTCAATGATGAGTCCGCGGCGAATCGTTCGGGACATCACTATATAACACCTGGATGACTTATGTTAAATAATTTGTGTTCTAATATTATTAAAGAAAACCACCATCCAACGTTTTCCATATGACATGTTTTATATTAACAAATACCCATTTCATGACATGAATAAAATGCACATGTTGAAATACACACTGGTATTCCTCATGAGCATGGCTTATCCTCTGTATATAATATGAGATGGCCATAATATGGTGTACCTGCCCAATATGGAATCCCTCTACAGCAGTCACTCGCTCTGGAAGCTTCTTATTTGATGTGTTCCCCAAACCCAGACGCCCATAATCTCCATTTCCAAAAGAAAACATCTTTCCGTCTGCTGTCACTACCGCCGAGTGTTTGAACCCACAGGACATCTGGGAAGGAAGCAGAGTGGTTATATATTCAGAGGGTGAAGACCTACATCTCAGGAAGAGAAGTAACAACAGCAAAATGTTAAGACAACAAAGATTTAAACCAGCAGGATGTGGTATAACATGGAGGATGAAGGAATGCATGGGGATTGCTGGCGGAATATATATATATATATATATATATATATATATATATATATATATATGACTGTGGAAGGAGTGACATATGGATATGAAGAAGGAAGGAGAGATAAATGAGCGCTTGGAGAATTATCTGGAGTTATGGAGAAATGTAATGTGGGGATATTTATGGGGTGATAATATTATACAGTTGAGAATTGCCCACTATTTCAATTCTCTTAGATCTTAGAGATCGCCATCATGTAAGTGAAATGTATTCCATACAAATAAAATCACAATTTGTTATAAAAATAGATATACTTTATTGTGACAAATAAAATAATAATAATATTAGGCAGCATGCATAATAACAATCAGTGAATGTTTAGTATAACATAAGTATGCAATACAATGGCAATATTTAGTCCTCTTAGGCATAGAATATCCTATTCTATTGCTATTTTTAATTAAAATAACATTCAACCAGATCATTAATCAATTCCTGTACCATCCAAAATAGTCAAATCAACAGATTCTATGAGCCGAATTTTAATGTGCATAAAAAGATATCTTATCTTATTTCAGAGCAAATCAATACCCATGGATAAAAACAGTGGTATGCGAACACGTGATAAGATACTAGTACTATGTAATTATCTGACTCCACCTGCAGAATGGAGTGTTATAACTACATATTCTTTATTTAAATAAAATTCCTCAATTATGGGATCTGATTGTGATTTATCCATGCATGTATCCTATTAATAGATTTTAATTCATTTAGATTAATTATATTAACCAGCATAATTACCTGTTATGATGTAGATGCTCTCATCAGATGCTCTTAGGTAATCCCAGGAATTGAAGTGTGGTTATGTGTGTGCAAAGAGATAGTGAAATTAAGTGTTCTGTGTCTCTCTCCTCAGTCTGTTTGTATGAGGGTCTCTCTGTCTCAGGCCTGACTACACCTCTCTTGACTCTTCCTGTTTGCACTGATTTAATATGTGGCTGAAACAAGCAATACAAATCCCTGGCTTCAGGTTATATTGAAGGCTTATCATAAGAGACAATGTACCTGCACCACCTCCTCTCCTTGTAAAGCTTCTATTTGCCTTGGACGCCTTTGCCGGTCGCTATTACCATGTCCCAATTTGCCATAATCGCCATCACCCCAGCTGAACACTTCTCCGCTTTCTGTTAGTGCCATGGAATGCCCATCTGAGCCACAGGATGTTACCAGCTGTGTCACCACGAATCCTGAGATAGACAGAATGATAGTCAGGAAATATAAGACAGTTTGTTAATCCCAAACACTTGCATACCTCTGTTTTCTTATATATGTAAGGGCTTAGGGTGCTTGAGCAAGTGATAAAATACATCAAACTGTTTATATACATCGTGAGCTGCTTTCTACCTAGCACAGCCATGTAAATAAAGCATCAGCAATTGGTCACCTTGCAGTGCAGATATGACCGTCAATACGTGGAGATCATCAGAGTTTCCCTGTCCAAGACGACCATAGCTGCCTTCTCCACAGGCTAAAACGGTGCCATTAGCCTGGATGACGAAAGTACAGTTCTGCCCACATATCACCTGGAAATAACAACTAAAGGTAAATAATATATTTGCTTGAAAGCTCAAAATCAGAAACCAATGTGGTTGGAAGCTATAGCAAGACAACAGAATAGAGAACACATTTTCAAAGCTGTACTAAGATCTTGACACATTCGTTCCTTATTTAATACTTATTACACCACACAAACTATCATGCCCCCAACATATTCTACCTGCTGTGCCTGTGAGAAAGATGCTGCTGCGGATGGTATCATTACGTTCCTGCCAGCCTCTGCCAATTGTCCGTGACGCCCAGCTCCCCACAGATACACATCACACTTGCCGCCGAGATGCCAATCCTGTCAATTGACAAAAATAGGGCTAAGTGGAACAACATAATACTACATTCAATCCAAAGTGTGATAAACCAAAATTCTTTTGTGTCTTGCACAGTTTAATACAGTTTACATTTTGGACGCTTCCCACTTTGTAACACAAAGCTTTATCAAGATGACAAGTTCAGTAGGTCATATGGTTTACCATTTTCTTCCAAAAATAGGCACAATCCCAAATGCACAATTTCACACATTGGTACACCAGAAACGGGCATTTGCCAGTTCAGACTTGCAGAGAGTGCAGCACACAGTCCTCTGGCACAGGCAGCTAGGAGTAAAACAACACTTAAAGATGCTGTGCTGTGAATCACGCATGTTGTGAGGAGCCACATTGCAGTTTGCAGTTTAATAAATGATTTTGCCCTTAATAGGGTGTGTATCTTAGTGATTTAATGCCACAGCCAGCGGTCAGATTGTATGATAAAAGGTTCAACATTTTGCCATATTTAAAGGGATACGCTAGGCACCATAACCACAACAACTCATTTTAGTGGTTATTGAGTTATGAGTCTATAGCCACAGCCCCTGGTCAAACTGTTTTGGAGTGGTGTGATAAAAAAAAGAAAAAAAAAAAGTGGCCGTCATATCCCTCTGGAGCCACAGCGATGGTAAAGAAACCACACTTCTGCATTGTCATTATGAATCCGTCCAACCTGGACGACAATGAAAGGTTGAGAGTGCTAGAGATGGGTGATGGCTCCCATAACTACTGCAATGGGCTGTTATGGTTATAATGTTTAGATTGCCCCTTTAATAAGTAATGTTTTATTTGGGTTTTATAACCAGATGTACATCAGCAGGCATTCACTATGACTCTTATCGGTTTGTAGATGCTTTAACACAAGCTGCCTTAATAAAATGTAAACTAAATAGAACTACATAGAGCTGTGAGCCTACATACAGACAATAAATCTTCTGACATTACATCTGGATGCACCCACCTCTGGCCGAGATGTGGCCCAGGACATAATTTGTTCATCTGTACCATTGATCCATTTGCTGTTATTCTGCCAGAGAGAAGAATACAATTACTAAAGTTCTCACGATAAAAAGAAGCATTTAGGTAAAAGGTATCAAAAAGATAACTTAAAATTAATTACTGGGATGACAGCAAGATACAGCAATTGCATTCAAAGAGGTAAGTGGTGCAGGCTAAGAACTGCAGGGGTTGTTTTAAAACAGCCATGTCTTCCCTTCATACCATTAACAACATCATTTCTTCCTCTGGGACTGGTTCCAGGTCAGGGACACTGAAGGATTCTGGGAACTGTGCACCCCTGGCAAGAGCCTCTGCAGCTTTAATGGTGGTGGAGAAACACTCCAGCCAAGCCCACTCTGCTGGGTTCCAGGAAGCAGGGTCTGCAGGCACTGTACGGTGGTGAGGGGGGATGGGTGGGCTGCACAGGAGATGTTCCAAGGTCAGTCCAACAGCCAGTGATGCCAAGCATTGCATGTACGGACTGTGCACCAGTTGATCCCCACACACTACATGCGGCTGTGATGACAAGAGAAAGAATGTTTAAATACACAGAGTCAGAATGAGACTTGGGGGAACATTTAAAAAGGAGAAGGAAGTGGATGGGCATAGCAGGCTGTCACTGGACTGAAGACTATTGTCTCAAACTGTTTATTAAAAACAAGAGAACATTACCTGCGCTCTAGCCTAAATCCCCATGTACATTTAAACACGTGAAAGGGTTTATAAAATACCCCTTCCTGTCTCATTAGAGATGTTTACACTTTGTCTGATACCAGCAAATGAGTAGAAGCCCTATAAAGGGTTAAATGTGAAAGGGTTCATAAAATACCCCCTTCCTGTCTAACTGGAGATACTTGGCTGATATCAGCATATCTAATGGCTAGTGTAGGAACTCACCTATTGAGGCTTGCCTTGACGTGGCAGGTGAGCTTATATATTCAAATGGCCATTGGAATAAAACTAAAGAGCCTCAATTTTATTTAAATGCACATGGGGATTTAGGCCTTTGCCGGTGCACGGGACCTCTTTGCACCATAACAATTTCATTCCAATTATGTTGCTATGGTGCCTGGAGTGCCCTTTACATAAACCCATAAATGAAAATGTAAAGCCTAAAGAATCAGTGGAGAAACAAAACTAAAGTCAATTGTTATATCAGTTAATCTATTCTGGGCTTAAATTTGAAATTCACTTTAAATTCCCAACAACTTCTGTGAATAAATTTATGAAAAAGAAAAAAAAAATTATTAAAGGAGTTTATAATTGGGTTCACCTTCTCGTATGCATACTGCTCCTGAAGCATGACAGGAAGTCGCTCCAGGAATGTCTGCATGCATGGTGCCATATTCAATCCCACAATTCCTTGCTGTCTCAGTGCTGTTCGGCATGTGGCCAAGATGTGATTGGACGAAATCCATTCTGCAGTGCAGTTCACTACCAGTACATCCTGTCAAAGCAAACATCAAGTCTGAGTATTGGTAAAACACTATGGAGTAAATTACGATGCAGCACGGATAACC